AGGAGGAGGAGGAGGAGAAGGAGGAGGAGAAGAAGAAAGAGGTACTTTTAAGAAGGGGAGAATCCAGGTTCCTCCAGTGCATGGAAACTGGCATGTAGGAGGTTTCCACAGGCATAAGAGAACAAACTCTAAGAGGAATAAACAGAAAGAAATAGAAAAGAACACACACACATAAAAGACTTGCTGGCAGGTCATTTCCTGGTTCTGTAGTCTACACTGTTAACCTTTCAGTTCCTCTCTCACCTTTCTAAGGACAGTTTTCTTTAAATCAATGTAATAATAAATTTTGTCACGCTTTCAGCTCACCCTCACATAGTCACAACTTATTTATTTATTTATTATTTGAGACATAGTCTCACTCTGTTGCCCAGGCTGGAGCGCGGTGGCACGATCTCAGCTCACTGCAACTCCCACCTCCTGGGTTCAAGCCGTTCTCATGCCTCGGCCTCCTGAGTAGCTAGGTCTACAGGCGTGCGCCACCACACCCAGCTATTTTTTTTTAAAAATATTTTTAGTAGAGAGGGAGTTTCACCATGTTGATTAGGCTGGTCTCAAACTCTTGACCTCAGGTCATCTGCCTGCCTTGGCCTCCCATAGTGCTGGGATTACAGGTGTGAGCCACCATGCCTGGCCGAGCCGCTGTTCCCGGCCTCTTTAAATCAAAAGAGTAATAAATTTTGTCATGCCTTCAGCTCACCCTCACATAGTCACAGCTTAGTTTAATCTTTATGTAGACAAGACTCCTAAAATCTTAAAACAAAGATGGTGTGTTTGTCTGCTTGCTTTCTGATGATGCCCTACTCTGTAATGGAATAGCTTCTAATAAACTTGCCTTTTTCACCGTGCTCTGTGACTTGCCTTGAATTCCTTCCTGTGCGAGATCCAAGAACCCTCTTTTGGGATTTGGATCAAGACCCTTTTCTGGCAATGCTTTCATTTGCCTGCTCTTTGTCCCACTCATCCTGGGCATATGGTCAGCCTCCCTGCCCCTCACTGCCTGGGGGAACCTTTAGTGGACTCACTGAGCAAGCTCGCCTCACTTGCCCATGGGTGAGCAGCCAGATGGGAAGCTTTGCTTGGTCGTTCCTGGGCCTAGAGGACCGACCCGCTGTTCAGTGGGGATCAGCCTCCAGCTTTGAGGTTTGGGCATGAGTGGGACCATCCTGCAGCAGTGGCATCCAGCTTCGGGGGCTCCACTGTTCTGTCACTCCAGCCTGGGTGACAAAGCGAGACGTCATCTCTAACAAAGTTAAAAAAAAAAAAAAAAAGAAAAATTTGGAAGAAAATTCCACCAAGTTCCAAAAACCACAATTTAAATTTGCCATGTGTGCTGCGTACTGTCAAATCCACAAGAATGATGTGTAGGTACTGTACTAGGTAATGTAAGTAATCTAGAGATGAATTAAAGTATGCCTAAGCATGTGCATAGATTATATGCAAATACTATGCCATTTTACATGAGCCTTCAGTGTCCACAAAATTTGATATCCTGGAGGTCCTAAAACAAATTCCCCAGGAATACTGAGGGAAGCCTTACACACATACACATATACATTCCTTCTTCAGGTATAAAGAAACATTGGTGTGACACTTCAGATCAGTTACAGTGGTTACCTATGTTTTTGGGGTAAAATTTTGGTGAATGGTGCACATGTGGTGTGAGGAACGGTTTTCACTGACTACCACATATTTTCAAATTTTTGAAATTATCTAGTTTATTATTTTTTATTTTTTATTTAGTAAACACACTTATCCTCAAGTTCTAAGTAACATATTAACTCTCCAAAACTTACATAAGGTGTTAGTTTTTTTGTTGTTTTGTTTGTTTTTGTTTTTGTTTTTTTGAGACGGAGTCTTGCTCTGTCGCCCTGGCTGGAGTGCAATGGCGCCATCTCGGCTCACTGCAACCTCCGCCTCCCGGGTTCAAGCAATTCTCCTGCCTCAGCCTCTCCAGTAGCTGGGACTACAGGCGCCCACCACCAACAGAAGGCGTTAGTTTTAAGGAGGAAGGTCACAGGAGCGCCCTCCTTCGTCGCCGCCCTTCTCCTCGCGGTCCCAACCCCATCCTCGTGTCTCACAGGGCGCTTGGCTGCGAGCTGCTGCGGTTCCTCAGCCCCCTGCACCGCAGAGCGCACGCGCAAGCCGGCCACGGCGCATGCGCTGCTGGTTTTGGTCAGGGCGTGGAGACGTTCAGTCAGGCCAGGGCGTGAGGCATGCGAGGTGAGTTCACTGGGCCCCGGGGCAGGAGAGCGGCCGGCGCGCGGGCAGCCCAGCCAGCGGCCTGGGCGGGGCTCGAGCCCCAGTGGCCGTGAGGGCGCGAGAGGCATCCAGTGCAGGGCAACGCGCGGCTTCGTGAGGGAGACTCCGCGGCGGGTCCTACAGGGGCCTTGTGGAAAAGCCACTCCAGAGGCGAGGGCTGCGTCTGACTGCCCTAAAATCACTGCCCGTGCAGGGAGGGACCCAGGACGGCCCTGCGCTGGTGGGCCCGGAACTCACCCCAAGGCTGGAGGCTGAGGCCTGACAATCACTTGAGCCCAGGAGGCAGTGATTGCAGTGAGCCAAGATTGCGCCACTGCACTCCAGCCTGGGCGACTGAACGAGATTCTGCCTTCAAAAAAAAAAAAGAAAGAAAAGAAACACCCCAATGGAAAGAAGCACAAAGGACATGAACAATTTATAATTGGCTAGTAAATCCGAAACAAAGAGAAAGCCGTATTATTAATCAAAAGAAATGTAAAATTAAGGAATAAAATGATATATTTTTAAATCTGGCTAATTGACAACAGATTTTGAGGGATGATAATATTCTTGATTGGCGGAACCAGTTACATAATTTGCAGGGCCTAGTGCAAAATGAAAATGTGGAGCTCCTTGTCCAAAAAATTGTGAAAAATTTCAAGAGAGTGGCAGTAAAGCCTTAAACTAGGCCTGTGGGTTTTATGAGAATGGGGCCCTTGTGACTGACCTAATTACAGGCCCATGAAGATGGCACTATTGGCTTGTAAGGTGGACTGAGATGTAATCTTACACATTGAGTTTGGAAGAAGTTGGTAGAAGCCATTGAAAGGAAAATTTGGCAGATTGTGTCAAGAACTTTTAAAAACAGTTTATCCCTTTTGTCTGTGTAATTTGAGAACAAATACTTAGCTTCAGTGATGTTCATTATATTATGATTTATAATAATGGAAAACAAAAATAAATGCTTTCAAATGGAAAAACTGTTAAATTATAGAAGTAAAAGGTGTAAGTTTTAGTGGGGAGAAGAAAAGAAAAAAATGTTTCCCCCAAGTGGCATCTTTGTTCATGGTTTCTTAGAGTGAGTGTAGCCTTTATGGAAGGTATGTTTTATTTATCTGATTACAGAAGAAATGAAGGTTTGTTGTAGAACATCTTGAAGCCAGAAAATAGTTTTGACAGAGAAAGTACAAAATCACCTGTAAAAATTACTTATAATATTACTGTTCTTCCTTAACCCACTGGCGCAGTATTTTGTTTTACCGCCTTTTCTGTGCTTTATATGGTTAAGCGTATAGTGTTATGTACAGGTTTCCTTTTTCCACTGATACTATGACCTTGACGTTTTCCTACAACTGTAATACAGCTAAAAAATGTTTAGCGACATACACATACGGAAAAGAGCACAAACCACAAATACGTAGCTCAGTTTTCAGAAAGTGAATACACTGTGTCCAGATCATTGCTAGGTTTCCAGAAGCCCTCATGCCTGGTTCCAGTCATTACCACTCTTCCCCCTAACAGCAGCCACTATTCTGAATTCTAACACTTTAGGTTTATTTTGCCTGTTTTTGACCTTTATATAAATGGAATCATATAATATGGACCTTTTTTTTGAGTCTGGTTTCTTTCATTCAACAGCAACTTACATTCGTATTTTTTGTTTAGTATTCCAGTATACAAATATATCAGCCTACTGTGGCTCTATCTCCTTGCCAACACTTGGTATTGTCTGACTTTTTCATTTTGGACGTTTTGGAGGGTATGTAGTGTTACCCTATTGGGGTTTTAATTCCTATATCTCTGATAACTAATGAAGTTTAGCCTTGTTTTATGTTGATTGGCTATTTATAGCTGTTATCTTTTGTGTAATACTTGCTCAGATCACCTCCACTCCACTGTCTAATCATAACTCTGCAGGCTAGTTGTAAGTCTCTACATAATTTCTGCAGTTCCTGAGGTTTCTGTATCCTTTCAGCTGATACAACTCTGCCCACCATCTTCCACAGCATTGTGTACCAGAGCAGCCTGCCTTTAAGAGTAGCTCTGTCTTGTAAAGGGCCAAGGTGTAGAGATGCCGGATGTGACAGGAGTTTTGGATATCTTGAGGAATCCCTAAATCTTTTGTATGCGTGGTCAAGAGAAGAAACTAGAAACAGAGACACTGAAAGTTTCTCCTCAAAAGTTTGGGGATTTTCAGTACCTGTTAGTGAATAGGCCTTATCAAGCTGTGAGCCAAATCCAGGAGTTCTGCTTGCAATGGCTGCAGCTGGAGCTCCTCACTAAGGAGCAGATGATAGAGCAACTAGTGCTGGCACAGTTTCTGAGCATCCTGCCAGAGGAGATTCAGACATGGGTTAGGTCAAAACAGCCCAAGAACAGCAAAGAGGCAGGAACCATGGTGGCAAACTTTATTCAAGCATGTGAGAAGGAAGGTGAGAAGGAGGAAGCAACTGGCTGCTTCTGTTTATTGAATATCTGCTGTATGCCTGGCACATAACGGGAGCTGAATAGAAATTTGTTGAGTGAATGAATGAAATAATGCATTTTATACATTCAGTCTGATCTGCCTAATCTCATGTGAGATGAAAGAAATTTGGGGTTTGGGTAATTTTTAAATTTTTATTTTAAGTTCAGGGATGCATTTGCAGGTTTATTACATGGGTATATTGGATGATGCTGAAATTTGGGCTTCTAATGATTCTGTCACCCAAGTAGTGAACATAGTACTGGATAGGCAGTTTTTCAACCTTTGCCCTCCTTCATCCTTACCCCCTTTTGGAATTCTCCATGTTTATTGTTCCCATCTTAGTGTCCATGTATACCCAATGTTTAGCTCCCACTTAAAAGCGGAAACATGTAGTGTTTGGTTTTCTCTTTTTCTTTTTTTTTTTTTTTTTGAGATGGAGTCTTGCTCTGTCACCCAGGGTAGAGTGCAGTGGCACGATCTGAGCTCACTGCAACCTCCACCTCCCGGGTTCAAGCAATTCTCCTGCCTAAGCCTCCTGAGTAGCTGGAATTATAGGCGCCCGCCACCACACCTGGCTAATTTTTGTATTTTTAGTAGAGACAGAGTTTCACCATGTTGGCCAGGCTGGTCTTGAACTCCTGACCTTGTGATCCACCCACCTCGGCCTCCCAAAATGCTGGAATTATAGGCATGAACCACCGCAGATTCTGTATTAATTTGCTTAGGATAATGGCTTCGGCTGCAACCATGTTGCTGCAGAGGACATGATTTCATTCCTTTTTATGCCTGTGTGGGTTTGGTTTTTGCTTTTAACATTTACTATTTCTCTGAGTGTACCAGCTTTGTTCACCTTGCCTCACATTTCTTATCCAGTGTAAACCTTAGTTTCAACACAAAACAACACACACACACTACAAAAAAAATCTCCTGGGATTGCTTGTGGCATTAATATAGTAAGTATAAATTTGGGAAAATTGGTCTTTACATTATTTAGTCTTTCTATTCAAGAACAAGAATGATTAGCTAAATTTTAGATGCAAGGGGGCATAAAATGTGGGAGATACAAAGACTGGAAGTTCAACTTCTGCCAAAATTTGACTGGTATCTTAGAAACTCAAGTTATTAGATTAGAGCTAAGGAGGTATTTCTAGAATGAGAAAAGAAAGTCACTGGGTCTTTATAGTCCTTTGAAAAAAGTAATACTAACTAAAAGCAAAATATTGTTTGGGGCATATATATAGCAAGGGAAAAATGAATACAAACACCAGACCTCAGAGCATACTTATCTCTAGCGGGAAGGCTGGAGTATGGACATGAAAGAAGCACACAGGCAGATGTAAGTTATTGGGAATGTTCTAGTTTTGGGTTGGATAGTAAATTCACAGGCCTTAATTATACTTAAAAATAAAAACAAATGGATTTAAAATAATCACGAGGGCCATGCATGGCTCAATAAAGATAGCATATCATGAACTAAGGATTATGATTAATCCCATTCTGTGCTCCCACATTATTAAAAGAATTTTAAAAATGCTGACGGTGAACACTTGAGCACTTAGAATGTTTTAATGTATTATCACAGGTGTTCTTTCATGTTAATTCATTTTCTTCTATTAATAGTTCTGTGAAATAGGTATTACCTTCGTTTCATAGACCAGGAGCCAGAAGCATAAAGAGGTTGAGCAACTTGACCGTGGTTCCACAACTTATAATAATAATTGTCAGTCAGGATTCAGACTTAGGCTGCTGGCTCCAGCATCTGTACTCTTAATCGCAGTGTTACAGTGAGTGCCTCATATAGATATAGTGGATGTTGTCCCAGAGGCTAAAAACTTGGCCAGAGGCACTGGGTTATTGATGAAGCTAGAGTTCAGTGAGAAGGAAAGAGAGTTCCCTAGGGTACCAGAAATAAACAACAGATTAATGAAGGGTTTACCCAGAAAAGAGAATATATAGGCAAGGAAGGCCATCAAGGTTAAGGCTCCTGAGGGAACGTGGTGGTTGTCTTTTAGATCAATGAGTGAAAAATATGTAGGAAAGGCTTAATCATAAGAGCTGCCATTTACCAAACAAAATACCTGCTGTGTGCCTTACATATATAATGTTTAATTCTCACAAGAGCCCTTAGAGGTATAGTATACTCCCCTTATCTGAGGGGCATACATTCTAACACACTTGAAAGTGTGGATAGTATCAAACCCTATACATACTATGTCTTTTCCTCTGCATACATACTTATGATGAAGTTTACTAATTAGGCACAGTAAGATATTAACAACAACTAGTTATAAAATGGAACAATTATAACAGTAGGTTAGCATCACTACTTATGTGCTTTGGGGGCATTATTAAGTAAAATAAGGGCTACATGAACACAAGCACTGCGATACCATGACAGTTGATTTGATAACCAAGACAGCTAATAAGTGACTAACAGGTAGGTGGTGTATACAGAGTGGACACACTGAGGATTCATGTCCTAAGTGGGACAGAGCAGGAAAGTGTGAGATTGCATCACCAGAATGGCACACAATTTATAACATATGAATTATTTATTTCTGGAATTTTCCATTCAATATTTTTGACCCCCAATTGACCATGGGTAACTGAAACTGCAGAAAGCAAAACCTCAGATAAGTGGGGGCTACCGTATAGGTATTGTCATTATTTCTGCTTTACAGTTGAGAAATAGAGGTTCTGTGGTGATCTTGATTGGACAGTGAGGCCCGAAATGACTGATGTGGAGGGAACTTTCACTTTATTTGGAAGGCATGGGAGCCATTGAAGCATTTAGAGCTTGGAAATAACTAGAGCTCTTTTTTGGAACTTGTTATATTGAATTGAGAAATGATTTCTGTCTTTCTCACCGTAGGAACTCTAGAGCTGCTGTTCCTTCCCATGGCAGGACAGGGTGGCATGAGGGTGGCTGGCCACTGTGTCTGTCAGTGCTGCCAGACAGGACTCAATTTCATGGTTATTCCTCTCTCCCTTCTAGGTTTCCTTGCTCAGGACTCTGTCCCTGCAGAAAAGAGGAACACAGAGATGTTAGACAATCTGCCATCTGCTGGGTCCCAGGTGAGTCAGGCTTTCCTCTGACATGGTTATCAAATATGGGGATCTTATCTTCCTAATTTGTGGACTTCCTTATTTAATTGAACCTCATCCTCATTTCCACTCAGTTTTTATTTAAATATCACTTTACTGAGCCTTTTTTCTGACTAATCTAACATTTGCTTATGATTCTTTTTTTTCTTATTTCTCCAAGAAAAATCCTTCTGACTCTTTTATCCTCCTTCCTTGCTTTACTTTTCTCTGTTGTACTTATCACCAGCCCACATACTATTTATTTAATATTTTTCCTCTTTCCCTGTCTTTTGAATTGTTTACTTTTTTTAGTATTCTATTTTATTTAAAAAAAACCCTTACGTGGTTTGCGTTATTGTTGTACCCCTTTTTATATATGAGGGAGTGGAAGCAGAAAGGCTAGGTAATATGCTAAAGGTCACACAGCTGTTAAATAATACAATTGAGACATGAACCCAGGCAGTCTGGCTTTACAGTCCACATTCATAACCCCTTAGTTATTGCTGCCTAATGTAGTGCTGTTACTCCAACTTAGGCTGGCCAGATTAGCAAGTAAATATACACAATGCCCAAATTAAATTTGAGTTTTAGATAAACTATGAATAAATTTTTAGCATAAGTATAAATAAATTTTTAGCATAAGTATGAAGTTTGAATTTCAGATAAACAATTTTTTGCGTAAGTATGCAATGTTTAAGACATACTTATGTAAAAAACTGTTGTTTATCCAAACTCTTCCAAGCTAAAGGAGCATGTTGTAACCCAGTGCAACGAAGCTAGGAACCTTGAAAAAAGGTTAGAGGAATTGCTAACTATAATAACCAGTTTAGAGACAAACATAAATTACCTGATAGAGCTGAAAAACACAGCATGAGAACTTCATGAAGCATACATAAGTATCAGTAGCAAATCGATCAAGCAGAAGAAAGGATATCAGAGACTGGAGATCAACTTAATGAAATAAAGCATGAACACAAGATTAGAGAAAAAAGAATGAAAAGAAATGAACAAAGCCTCCAAGAAATATGGGACTATGTGAAAAGACCAAACCTACGTTTGATTGGTGTACCTGAAAGTGACGGGGAGAATAAACCAAGTTGGAAAACACTCTTCAGAATATTATCCAGGAGAACTTCCCCAACCTAGCAAGACAGACCAACATTCAAATTCAGGAAATACAGAGAACAGCACAAAGATACTCCTTGAGAAGAGCAACTCCAAGACGCATAATTGTCAGATTCACCGAAGTTGAAATGAAGGGAAAAATGTTAAGGGCAGCGAGAGAGAAAGGTCGGGTAACCCACAAAGGGAAACCCATCAGACTAACAGCAGATGTCTCTGCAGAAACCCTACAAGCCAGAAGAGAGTGGGGGGGTCAATATTCAACATTCTTAAGGAAAATAATTTAGAACTCAGGACTAAGAAACTCACTCAAAACCGCACGATATGGAAACTGAATAACCTGCTCCCGAATGACTCAGTAAATAACGAAATTAAGGCAGAAATAAATAAGTTCTTTGAAACCAATGAGAACAAAGACACAACGTACCAGAATCTCTGGGACACAGCTAAAGCAGTGTTTAGAGGGAAATTTATAGCACTAAATGCCTACAAGAGAAAGCAGGAAAGATCTAAAATTGACACCCTAACATCACAATTAAAAGACTGTCTCTTATACACATCTAGATGTGTATAAGAGACAGGCAGGAGGATCACTTGAACTGGGGAGGCGGAGGTTGTAGTGAGCCAAGATCACATTGCTACACTCCAGCCTGGGGGAGAGTGAGACTCCATGTCAAAAAAAAAAAAAAAAAAAGAAAAAAAAGATTTTTAATAGGCACTTAACAAAATCTGATCTTCATAAAACCCTATGATACAAAAAGTATGATGACCATTTATAGATCAAGGTCCAGATCAGAGATGTTACCTGTCTTGTCCAGTGCAATTAAATAACAGTACAGGCCGGGTGCATTGGCTCATACCTGTAACCCCAGCACTTTGGGAGGCCAAGGCGGGCGGATCACCTTAGGTCAGGAGTTCAAGACCAGCCTGGCCAACATGGTGAAACCCTGTCTCTACTAAAAATACAAATATTAGCTGGGCGTGGTGACACACACCTGTAATCCCAGCTACTTGGGAGTAGCACAAGAATTGCTTCAACCCAGGAGGTGGAGGTTGCAGGGAGCTGAGATTGCACCACTTCACTCCAGCCTGGGCGACAGAGGGAGACTCTATTTCAGAAAACAAACAAGAAAAAAAAGAAAAAAACAGTACAGTACTTGAACCCAGGTCTCTGAGCTGCCAGCCCAGTGCTCTTCCCACCCAACACACTATCCATGAAATTGTCAAAGATTTCAGAAAACTCAGCCCCTTAAAACTTACTGAAATTCAAATTTAACTGGGCATGCTGAATTTTATCTGGCCATCCTATTTCAACCAAATTTTTGGATTTGGAGATTTGAGACAATGGAGTCCACTGGGAAGCATGGATAGGCTAGAATACCCCAGAATTTTAAAAAAAGGAAAGATAATTATGTCCTACTATATATTTCCTCCAAAATAATGAATAGTATTTTAATGAAATCATCAAACATAAAACTGTTTTCTCGTTGTACAAGATTATACAAATGATTCTGGTAGTGTCATCATCTGTTTGTTTATTCACCAATGTCTACCGGTGTCAGGCTCCATTTGAGGGAAAAAAGAATGTTCTTAGAACCATATAGGAGGTGCCAGAAAGTCACAGAGCAATTGAAAAGGGGCTTTTCCTTGAAAGTCATGTCCTAGAACATGCATTCTTAAGGAGGAGGATATTGCCTTCAAGGGGAAGAAAATTGGTTCTTGGAGATGAACACATACTATTCTTCTTATGCATACAGCACAGGCATACATACAGTACATACACAGATACACAGTATATTTGCAATATTAAAATGTATAGGGTACCATGTGATTCCATTTTTATGAAATATCCAGAATCAGCAAATCTATGGAGACATAAGGTATGTTAGTGGTTGCCTAGGGCTTGGGGTAGGGAGTGGGAAGATATTGGAGGGAAATGGAGAGTGACTGCTAGAAGGTGTAGGGTTTCTTTTGGGGTGATGAAATGTTCTGAAACTTATTGGGGTGATGGTTGCACAACGCTGTGAATATGCTTAAAAACCCATTAAATTGCATACTTCAAATAGGTGACTTTTATAATACATAAATTAAATCTCAATAAAGCTGTTATTTAAAAAAAAGACATACGGCACCTGTGGCCCCAGTTCCACCAACTGAATTAGAATCTGTGTTTAACAAGATCCCCAGGCGATTTGTGTGCACATTAAAATTGGAAGCATCCAATAACTGTGTATGTGAATCAATGCTAATTTATAATTGTTTGAAAAAGTATATCCATATCAAGGACTGGAATGTACTTTGCAAAAATGAAAATAGTGTAAATGAAGACAACCCCTTCTACCCACACAAAGGGTGTGGCTTACTGTAGACCTTTAACAAATGGCAGCTCTTATAGGGACATGATACTGTTATGAGGTTTTCTAATTTTTTGGTTTCAAAAATGTTCTCCAGTGTTCTTGTTAAGTCATGTTTTAGAAACCTAAAAGACAATAATGAAATTAATATACTCTGCTTTCTTTAGAACCAGAAAAAATTCATGGGGATTGTGATTAGAAAAAGTGGTCTATAAAGATTACTGGGGTGGAGGGAGCGAGATAAGGAAGAAAGGTTGAGAAACAATGTTCTAGAATGTCTGCTCCTGAGAGTAGCCCTCTGTCCCTACCTTGTCTGTGCCAGGGATTCCAAGCAAAGATGCCCCTGAGGGACTACCAAAGGAATATAAATAAGGAACTGGTCTGGGTGGATTATGACAAACAAGGGAGTGCTTGTCCCATATGTAAGGGCAGCTGTGACTCAGCTTTTGCTGATGGTGCTATGTGAGAATGTGTACCCAGGTCCCCAGATTTTCTAATGTTTTTAATCAGAAGTCACAAAACCAGTTAATAATGACATTTCCTAATTTTTTGGTGTTGGCAGCTAATACAAATTTTTTAAAAAGAGTAGAAGGACCACACGAGCCAAATAAACCCATCTGAAGGAGCTGGGCAGCCAGTATGTGATCCCTAATTTAATCCAATGTTTGTTGATTTGCATAAAGTTTTAAAAAGTTTCAATTAAAACACAAAATATGTATATTAATAAAATGGCTATCATAGTCTTATATAATCTTATGATATCTGCCTTTTTATTTTTATAGTATCAAGCAATTTTATGTGTTTTATTGTAAAATTTTAGAGTGTAAGTGACTTTAGAGATAATGTAATGGGTCTCTTTATTTTAAAGATGAGACAATGAGAATCAAAGATTAATTAACCCGTACCTCACAACTAGCTAATAGCAGAACTCAAAACTCCTTATTCCAGTATAGGTTTGTTCCCATGATTTTCTCTAATAGTTACAGAGAATGAGATGGAAAAAAGAAAGGAGGGTCGATTGACAGTTTATAGTAGGAAAACAGTTGGGAACAGTAAGAGAGCAGTCTTAAAAATGCTCTGACTACCACATGACCACCATCGTTTAAAAAGGACGCTGTGACTGAGAAATCATGACCTACCATACAGTGATTCTTACTTGAAATAGATACCTTTTCTACAACTAAATTCAGTTGTCTTACAGTGAATCAGGTAACATTTCTCTTTTAACAATTTTTATATATAATAATATCGATTATCCATTCTATTCAAGGTATTATAGCATATTAACTGTATTAGTTAACTAAAATAAAGCACAAGAAAAATGATTATGAAAAACTGAGACTGCTGTCTATTCTAAATATTTTGAGTCACAGACTCCTTTGAGAAACTTGGAATTTTTATCTTCCAGAAAGGTGCACATGTAACTACAAAGCTCAGCCTTAGGAATCCTTGATTGCCAGGTTAAGACCTCAGCCTAACAATGTACCTTTGGTTTTGAATCATTTTTTTCATTGC